CAATATATCAGAACCTATGGGACACAAGGAAAGTAGTCCAAAGAAACATTTACTGCAATCAATGCTCACATTAGAACAACAGACTAAGCTCAAATAAATAATTTGATAGGTACTTCAAGAGAATTGAATGACAACAACAATCCAAGCCCAAACCAAAATTAGGGAGCAAAATCATAAAGATCAGAGCAAAAATTAATAAAATTGAGACTATGAAAGCAGTACAAAGAATCAACAAATTGAAAAGATATTCTCTGAAAAAAATAGATAAACCCTTAGCCAAGCTTATAAAAGAAAGAGAGAAAAGACTCACATCAACACAATTAGAAATAAAAGAGGCAAAATCACAACAGAACAAGAAATCTTATTCAAAAAAGTGGAAAATTTTGAAGAAATACTAGACAGAATGGGAATCATCAAGAAATCAAACAATAAGAAACGCTGGTGTGGCTGTGGTGATGGGAATGTGAGCTAACACAACCATTATGGAAATCAGTGTGGAGATTTCACAAAGACCTAAAAATAGAAAGTCTGTTTGACCCAGATGTTCCCCTACTAGGTATTTTTCCAAAAGAGCTAAAGATGCGGGTACAGCAATACATTCATACCAGTATTTATAGCTGCTCAATTCATAATACTTAAATCTGGAAGCAGCCTATGTCCATCAATGAATAAAAAAAGTGGCATCTATAAAACAGAAAACTACTTGGCTATAAAGCAGGATACATTCGAGACATTTGTAGGGAAATTGATATGCCTGCAAAGTATTATTGGAGTAAATCAGTGTCTTGGTTACTTTTCTCTCCTTGCTGAGACAAAACACCCAACGCCCAAAATGAAGGAAGGAAAGCTTACAGTTTGTGGAGGTTTCAGTCCATACTTGGCTGGCTCCAAGGCAGAAGATAGCAAAGCAACAAGAGCAAAGGGGGGAATGGCAGCCGAACAGCAAAGCAGCCACATTAAAAGGGAGGAATTGCGGCAAGCAGCCTCTTTCCCTCCCTTACACTGTAAACAGGCTACCCCCACCTGAGGGCATGTAGCTCTCAATAATCTCCATGCCCTCCTCTTCCACTCAGGATGTATACAAAGTAAGGCTCAAGATGTATACCAAGTAAGCACCCTGGCTTCCTGCTGAGTCACTTAACCAAACCTCTAGACTCCCCAGGTTGACACATGTACCAACCATAACAATCAAACACATGATCTTCAATATTTATGGTATTTCTCATTTGAGTAAGGCACAGTGTAAATAAAGAGCAAAATAAAGGACTGATAGAAGAACACAGGGTGATAGATCCTTTGCAGATGGGAAAGAGTGCACAAGACTGGGGGTTGGGCGAGTGGGAGTCAACAGATTTATGATGTGTCAGTACATGTGTCAGAAAACCACAAGGAATGCAAACATTGTATACCACAAATGCAAAGTAAAACAATTCATAATAACAGTGAAAATGGGCAAAGAGGATCTGGGGATGGAGACAAGGAGGATAGAGGGAGCAAGGGGGGGAAATTAACCAGAATGTGTTATATACACATAGCTACTCCTTCAGATGAATGTGAGCTTCTTGTATTGCAAACATGGACTAATCAAATAAAGTTGAAAAAACAAAATAAAAGAAATCTGAACATCCAGGATATAGTATATTGATGGTTTTAGGACTCTGAATTTTACAAAGATGACAGTAAATCTTTCAAAGGCTTTAATCAGATGGAAGAAATGATCACATGGCGGACTCTGAAATACTTTATAAAAAAGGATTTGGAGACAACCTCTAGCATCTCGGGCAGCCTTCAGGAGACAGCTAAAGACACCTGAACTGAGACTCTAGAGGTGAATACAGAGAGAGCTAAACGCAAGGGGCAATTACACTGTGGGTATAGCAAGTCTCAGAACTTGTTTACAGTGGGGAATAATGGAAGCAGAGGACCTGGGGATGCTACCTAGGGTTTCTGGTTAGCCAACTAGGTGTTGCTATTCATGGAAACACAAATACTGGAAGAAGCATGGCATAAAATGAGTCCCGTTATTTTCATCTTATTAATTAATCTTATTAATTAATTTCATCAAATTTAACATCTATTAAATTTGAGGCACCATAAGTTTATCTGAGCCGAAAAAAAAAAAAAAAAAAGGAATAAAATGCTGGAACTATGAGTTTCAATCTCAGAAAATACAAGTTTTTTGATTCTTCACTGTATGCTTAGTAGTTGAGGTCGTAAGTGGATGACATGACCAAAAGACTGTGAGTGTAATATGTAATGTAAAAAGATCATAACACAGTTACAGGAAGACTTACTGCTAAGGAATCCGTAAAAAAAATTAAAAAAAGAGAAACACCACTCAAAGGCAGAGTGGAGAATCTCTCTGACAGTGAACAATCACAGAAGCCAAGAATGTTTCAAAAGAGGAGAGTTCAATCAGCAATGTCACGTCGCAGGGCGGTCAAGTAAGATAAGGTCTAAGAAGTGACCACTGGACTCCTTATAATTTTGGCCAAGAAATCATCTTGTTCCAAAATATTGTCTCAACAGAGCTTTCACTCATCCTGGAGTAGAGCACATCAGCTTCTTACAATAGCAACTAATGCTTCGTATCAGCTATTATCCACAACTGAGATATCCTGCGAGGTCACAGGGCTCCAAGTCTCTTTGGATCCAATACTGTGAAGGGCTTGGGCTATTTTGTATTTTTCTCTTTCTATCAGGTAGTGAGCCAATACTTGGATATTCTTTAGTCAGGGATGTAATAAATTCATCCACTGTTTCGGGTGGGGCATTCCAGACAGCTTTCTTGCTGTGTGTCCTTAAAGTGAAGGTCAAATAGAGTTCACTGAGAAATACAGTTTAGGCAAATACTTCTGCGTTAGTATTTATGTTGGAGATATCTATTTTTAATAGGAAAAGTTTTCTCCAAGTTTGCTTTTAAAGGATAATGTGGGTAAGTTTATTATTAGTTAAAATATGTATTTTTTATCTAGAACTATGTGAGACATACTCAATATTATTTGTAGTATCTCAATCAGAAAATAAAATATAATTTTCCTAGAGAGTTTAAAGTTTCTAGCTATAAACATGTCCGCATCATTTAGTATGTTCACAGTATACAAAAGGTAATCATATTTCTTAACATTTTTCAGATACAGAAGCCATTGGGGTAAGATCATTAATCACTCAAATCTCAGCATGAAATAGTCCTCAAAAACTACGGGAACACATGAATATTATGTCTTCTGTCCATTTTTTAACTTAAATTCCAGTACTATTGACAGTAGATGATCTTAATTTATTTGGAATGGCTTGGGAAATGGCTTATGGTTCCAAACTGTCACAATGATTTGGAATTACTCAAAATCAGCTAAAACTTTCATACACTTACATCAGCTTGAAATTCAAACTTTGAAAAAGACAGTAAGAATGGTAGTTACATATTTGGGAATAAAAGTGATGGAAGTATACTGTCACCCCAAATACTCTTGTTGCCAACTTTCCAAGAGGTAAGGCACTAACAATGCAGCAAATACTTCATTTAATTTATATAGATTAGATTTTTAAAAATATGATTATAGCAAGTATGCTGACCTTTTATTAGATCTCCTATCTTATTGGGGTTTTTAAGGTGTGTGGCATTATTGCTGAGATAGGAACCTTACACAACAGATCTCTGGGTTCGTCTTGTTGACTAAAACTGTACACCTGTGGATGAGTAGTTGTATTTTCCCCCTACCCCTAAGCTCTAACAGTTACCACTCCATTCTTCGATTCCATGAATTTGACTATTTGAAATATTTCATTTAAGTGAGATCATGCAGCCTTTACCGTTCAGTGGCTGGCTAATTTCATTTTGCACTTATTCTCAAAATTCACCCACTTTGTTGTACATTTTTAAATAACCTTCTTTATAAGGCTGATTAACATTCCATATATGCATACACCACAATTTCTTTATTGAACAGATTTTCTCATTTTTTTATGTCTTGGTGACTATAAATAATATTGCAAAGAATATCAGAATAGTAATAACAATTCAAAATCCTGATTTCAGTTATCTTCAATAATTACCCAGAAGTGAGACTGCTGAATTACATGCAAATCCTCTTTCTCATTTTTTGAGGAACTATCATATTCTTTTGGGTTTTTTTTGTTTTTTTTTTTTTTTTTTTTTGGTTTTTGTCCCGTACCGGGAACCGAACTCACGACCTTGTGCTTGCCAGGCAGGCGCTTTGCCGCTGAGCTAAATCCCCAGCCCCTATCATATTCTTTTGCATAGCAGCTACACGCTTTTGCATTCCCACTGACATTGTGCCAGCCTTCCAATTTCTCCGCATTCCAAAAAACGTTTGGTTTGTTGTTGTCATTGATCTGTTTTGATTTTTATTTTGACAAAGTGTGAGGCGACAGCTCACTATCATTTTCATTTGCATCCCACTTATGATTAGCGATATTCATTTTTAGATTATTTTGGTTTTTATGATAGTTTGAAATTTTTCCCATTTCTTTCACTGTGAACTACTCAATATTAGGAACAAATTAATAAATGTGTGTACATGTTAATTGCCCAACCTTTCAAAGCGCAGATTGAATAAAATACCATCATTAGTGAGAACAACTATTTACTAGTCATTACATATCAGTTGCTTGGTTATGCCTTTAATGTTTTTCTTTTCATTGTAACCATCACCTGGTGAGGGATTTCTAATGCACACGATGGAAGTAGGAAGCACTCAAATAGGTTCAGTAATGCTGCATGGTTTCACTGAGCCAATGTGTGGCCTAGATAGAATTCCATCCTCACTCCAGAGCCCAAAAGCTCAGCCCCCACGCACATGCCCCATCTGCACTGAGCTCAAACTGCCTCTTCCGTACATTAAACAATAGGTGAGAAGCAAGGACATGCATGCAGCATGTTCAAATACACAGAAAATAACCAAGTTCTCTTCTGTGCCGAGATACCCACGAACACTTCTCCAAAACTTCCTTCTGGCCATTTCACCCACAAAATGAAATTTGCTTACTGCAGACTGATTTATTGTGTATTTTTCTCTACCCAAGAAAAAGTAAAGCCTTCTTTTGATGTTGTACAAAGTGTGTGGAAAAAATTAATCTGGCTGTCAAAAAGGTCTTTTCTTCAACATCCTTGGCTTTTCCACGGGAGTTTGCCCCATTCATTCTTTCAGCCAGTCTTCCTACAGCCGCATTGGACTGAACCTTCACTGGACCCTGTGGGAAACAAGAAAGATGGTCAGAACTAGATCCTTGCCCTCAGTGAACATAACTTCTTACCTGGTAAGATGATTGCCTTCCGTGAAACCCATGTCCATACACAAGCTCCACATACTGTAATGCTCCAGACCACTCCTAAGTGCTGAGATTAATCCAGAAAGGGAGAGATGGATCCTTTTCTCAGATATGCATATCTTTTGGGTCTTATCTCACCACACAGATGAAAGGGGAAATGCCAGCCTTTGATTTCCTGACCACTAGCATTTCGTGTCTTTGCGGTTCGTGAGGTTCCTGTATCCTAGGAAACTACAAGAAGGACACAAATAGGGTGAGTAGGTAGCAACATGCAGAAAGAAGTAAGGGTCTTTGTGTGAAGTCTTAGTAGATATGACAGGTCCCAACCTTCAGCCCATAGTAACTAGTTTTACAGTCTTCTGCAGGACTGTACAAAAGTAAACATCAGTTTAGGCAACTGCATTAACACAGTTGGGCCAAATTGATCCAAAAAGAGAATCAGTGAGCGAATAGCTATGGCTGGCAGCCAATGAAGGGAAAATGTGCTCTGCATATTCAGTGAATCACTCAAACAGACAGGAGGGAGGGTGGGCCAACTTAGCCTGGACCGTGAGCCAGAGCTCACACCCTCAGCGGGGTCAGGATTTGCACACGAGGTGAGTCTTGTTGCAGTTCAAGAGTCAGGCAGTAGCTGTCAGATCGGGTAGGTGGGATTTTCCCACCAATATCAGCACTAAATCCCCATGGTTCTAAACATCCACAGGCTTGCCTCCAACGAGGGAATAAGGCAAAGATTCCAGTGCAGGCGGATGATCATTCAAGGCTCTACTGAAAGGTGCCAACTATACCCGATATCTGCTCTGCCCAGTACTTCTGGCTGCAAGCCACATTTCAGCTGAGGCTACTACTTCCTGCCACACTTCCTCCTGTGGTTTCAAATGCATCAAACTCATCTACATCCTTCATGTTTACTCTCTAGCTGCTTATTTGAAAGAGGACCGTGTTGATAATTTTACAATATAAGTGGTTTGTTTAGTAATCTGTATACAATGCATCAGCCTACTTAAATAACTCTCAAGGAAAACTAAGAGTTTATTATGGCCAACATAGAGACAAAGTAGCAAGATGCATGGCTGTCAACATAGCAAAATGAACCTACTTTTCCCCATTAGAAAGAGGTGGATGATGACAGAGAATGTACTTGTCCCAAGAAGAGAAGAATCCTTTTCTATTTAACACACAGACGAGAAAAGAATGCATTTGCATGACAGCTTTCACATTTTACTCATAAGAATCTCTCAAGGACTTACCAAGAATTGTTTTGAAAGCTCACAAACCATCATTCAATAAGATTCTGCATTTTTAACAAGTACCCAAAGTCTCACTGACTTAGTACATGAGGTAACTTAGCGAGTAGAATTTAGGTGACAATACGTAGGACTTCTCTCAGAATTAAATGACAACCAGCTAACAACAGGCTCCAGACAGAAATCTGGGTGCTGGGAAAGGAACAGTAGCGGGGATAATTGGGCGAGTGGGAGAAACCTAAAGCCTTGTTAGAGATGCAGCCTCCTATCTGAGCAGGGACAATACCTTGAGGTTGTCATTATTGCTGCTTTTCTTTCACTCCACACGTGGATGCATGCGTGATGCTCCTTAAGAACACAATGTTTTCATAAGTTATATGTAAGTACCTCATAGTGAATGCTTAGTATTTTATAAAAACAACTACTGAGCTACTTCTGCCCCAAGGAGGGGAGTGGTGAGCTTACTCTGTACTCGTCTCTTTTGCTTGCCACCTTGACAAACTAATTTTTGGGGAGTGAAAAGGACTGCATCTAGCACATGCAAGGTGTACATCTGTGTAACTGGAGAGAAACAAGGGACCTAGTCGTGGAGAACACATCCCACTGCATTTCTCCTGTGGGGAAATGTTAACTAGTGAGAAATCCCTCAGCTGAAGAGCACAGAATGACACTGAAAAAAAACAAATCTCCTACTTTTACTACGTGGTGCAAAAAAGAGTGTAGGTTCCATTGAAACTTTTGTGTGGTCTACTACTACAAGTGTCTGCAGGATGATTTTATTAGGGAGATCGAAGATGAGGGGAAGTTTCTAAGTCAGGCTGGTGGAAAACAGACCTGGTAAAATCTTTAGGAAATGAGACATGTGAGGTTCAGAAAATGAGAAGCAATAATGAGAGGAACTAATCATAAGAATGAGGCTGTAAAACTTTCAGAATTTGTAGGAATCTTGAGGAGGGCCATGAAACTCTCAGAGGATGAGAGCCGATTGTTTTTATTTACATTTCAGTAGGCGGGGTGGCCTCAGCTCGCAACTGAAGTACACAAAGAAGTCTTTGCATCTCTATTCTTTCTTTCCACTTCCCACGCTTACAGCCCTTGTCTTTAAGGACATTACTCCTAGGAATACGGGAATGAGATATATTTAAATGTTAAATGCAAGATGGCTCTAAGCACATTAGATAAATTGGAGGAGAGAACAACATATATGTAAAATAAGAAACATGAGACAAGACCCCTGCTAGCAGAAGGGGTTACAGAGAATTCCTAGACAAAGTGAGATCTGGGTCAACCCCGAAGGATTAGAATGAGTACGGCCTGTCGGAATTGATGGATTACTATACGAATGAGGCAGGAAAGCTCGAATCACCACGGAGGGTCAGGAGTACAGAGGACTAGTGGAGCACAAGAACAAGTCAGGGCTGCACAGCAGATGGACTACAAGTACCTCTGACAAGCATGGGATGGTCTGAGTCAACTTTGGAGGACCTTTCCTGACATTTCAGGGTGGGGCCGCTAATTCTGTGTGGTCTTGCAGACAGATCTGTCCACACACTCCAAGGCTCTTCTGGGTCTGCATCTCCTGAGGACCCATCTGGAAAGATTGTTACACCATCTAATGCCTTGCAAACAACACTGAGCTCCCTCCAGGTCTCTGTGGAAGAGCAGAGGCCATGAGATCGACAGTCCTGACTTCTGCTAATTATAGGTCTTACCAAGAAACAGCCCATTCCCCCAAATCCTTCATGCCTGAGAGTCCCACAGTTTCTCTAAACAGAAAGTGCAAATCCTCAAAAGCGAAGTGAATTGTGGATATGAGTAACAGCGCCTTCCAGCTTGGTGAATTCACAACCTCGGGAGTGTGTGGCCAATACTTCTGTTTGGTGACAAACAAACAAACAACAAACAAGTGTGACTAATGGCAGTTGGAAAGAAGACAACCCAGAAATACCCTTCTGGGGAGGACTACAGCCGGTGCAAGGTTTCATTCTCAAGACAGTGCATTTCCGGTCTCCTCATCCTTCCACTGCTGCTTTTGAGGAGCCGCAGGGTCTTCCCAGTAGCTCGGGTTTTTAATTCTCATCTCTGCTTGAACAGCTGTTCTTGCCCTTCCCATATTCACAGCACCAGCCTCAGGTCCACTTCTTGCAACCATTTTTTATTTAAAAGCTTCCCTCCACGCAGAAAGCTAAGTACACTTCAGTGAGTAAAGAAGCTAGGCTGTTACATTTAGACTCTGAAATAATAATAACACTAACATAATTTTTATGTTAGTGAAAGATCAGATAAAAGATACGAAGCTTATTCTTTTAGACTCATGTGCCATATATATTTATGTTTATCTAGCAGAATTCCAAATCCTCATAGCACTGTACTCATCATAAAGGGCACAAAAAAAGCCCAAGCAGAGCCTGTCTCAGGGTTCTACTTGCGGGAGGACACGGCAGGGGTGTGGAGGGTAAAGAACAAGTTGGTCCTAACAGCACCACAAAAGGAAAAAGAAAGGGAGAGGAGACTATGAGAGCTTGCAGAGTATCAAACTCCCCATGTAAAGCAAAAGAAGAAGGAAGAAATGCACAAAATATAATATTGCATTAAACTCTCTGGCACTTTGGGGACTCTCTCTCCTCAAGGCTGAGCCTGTCTTCAAGATCCCCCCACTTCCCATACCACACCGCTAGGGACTGAACCCACAGCCTTGCACTGAGCTACATCCCCAGGCCCTTTTTATCTTTATATTTTTTCTATTTTTCAGTTAGATCTTCTTAAATCCTTAAATTGCCTAAGATGGGCTTGAATTTGTAATCCTCCTGTCTCAGCCTCCTAGACTGATGGGATTACAGGCATGCTCCATGCCACCCAACTGCTGCTTCTTTTTTCTGTCAGGCTCAACCAGACCTCACCAACCCGTGTCCCCTTTCCTCTAAGGCAGGCAGGTTGTCCAACTAAGTTTTTCTGCATTTCCAGTAGGCCCAGAAGTATGGAACCATATTGTTTTGGTCATTAATGCTATTCACCAAGTATCTCCCATTTTTCTCCTTGGTAGAATTGCATTTCCCTGTTCTTGAAGAATCCTGTATTTTTCCTTTGCTTGTCCCCTACCCCTTTGCAGTAGTCAGGGTTTGCAAGGGAAATAGTATAAGACATACACTTTATAGGATTATTTTATAATAGTCACCCAGAGAGTCAAGTATAAAGGAATGCAGGAAATCTGTCCACACACTAAAAACCCAAAGAATCTGGCTGCGGGCCTGGATCCCATGGCAATGTCTTGCATGACTCCAGCTGAAGACCTAGAGCCCATAACAGTGCCTCCCATGAGTCCAGCTGGAGGCTTAGAGCCCATGACAATGTCTTATGCAGGCCTGTTTCATGGATCTGTGCTGGGAAGGCCCCCAGGTTGGTGGTGGAAGCTAGAAAACCTGCACCAGCTGAATGAAGGATCTGTGCCAGCAGGCTGAAGATTCTGCACTGGAGCCAGGAAGCAGCACTCAAAGTAAGGACCAGAGCTCCCCCATAGAGGCACTGTAGTCATCTTCAGCTACAACAAGGTCCAGAGCTCCTCCAGCGATAAGGACAGGCGAGTTCATTTCAGGAAAGCCAGCACAACAAGCTTCTTCTCCAGGAGACTGAGCAGTACACCATCTTCCCCTCCGGAGCCAGGAAGTGATGCTCAGAGTGAGGACCAGAGCTCCCCCAAAGTGAACTGTAGCCATTGTCGGTGACAAGGTCCCGAGCTCCTTTGACGATGAGAGCAGCCGAGTTCATATCAGCAAAGCCAGCAAGACAAGCAACTCCAGGAGAACCAACAGCACTCTAACAAGACCTCTTCCTCTCCAGTTCTTTTTATTTTGTTAGCAACAGTCCTCAGGTGGGCCTTCCACACCCAGCACCACCCCGGTTCAGTTCAGCTGCGTGCTACAGATTGACCACCAGTTGTCATCCACCACACCCTTGAAGTAGCTTTGTGATTTTCTCTGTTAATAAAGATTTTAAAAATGACATGTAGCCCTTCCAGGCAGGTGCTTTCAGAGTCACAGTTTTCCCCTCTTTGTTTCGGGCACAGTGAAGCCTGAGTTCACATGGAGGCTTCATCACCACAAGCCCTAGGTAACTAATGGACAGAGCACCTCCCACATCCCTTCTTCACACTGGCAGAAATAAAACGTGAAAAGACAAAAAACTATTGGTATTTGTGTCCACCAAAATTCTAGTAATTGTTTGTTACTGCACGCAACTTGTTCTGTCTGAACTAATACACACAGTCGCTTTCTGAAGACAATATATGCGTGTGGTTCACGTGTGTATTAGGAACTCTGAGACATATACATGTGCGCATGTCTGTGTATGTGAACTTAGAGGCAGACAAGAGGCAGAGCACTGACATGACAGTGCAAGGTAGAGTCCATTACATGCTAAGCATTATTAGCTCACACAAATTGTCTGCCCCTAATTTCTCCCAAGTAGCTCTCGCGCCTGAGCTATGTTCATTCTTCATTCAATTATTCTTGTGATTTCCTTTCCTCTCAACTGTCCCTCCTTCCTGTTGTCATTCTTTCTTTCTTTCTTTCTTTCTTTCTTTCTTTCTTTCTTTCTTTCTTTCCTTCCTTCCTTCCTTCCTTATTTATTTATTTATTTGTTTGTTTGTTTGTTTGTTTGTTTTTTGTCTTTTTGAGACAGGGTCTCGCTATGCAGTTCAGGCTGGCCTTCAACTCACTGTGTAGCCTAGGATGGCTTTGAACTCCCAGTAATCCTCCTGCCTCAGCCTCCCAAGTGCTGGGATTATAGGTGTGTTATTCTTTGCTGCCAATGTGTTCCATGCCCACCACAACCTAACACTTTCTGCTTCTAATCTGCCCCTCGGGATTGTGAATAAATTAGGAGCAATTAGGTTTTGAATGAGAGGCTAAAGTACACCTCTGTGAGTAAAGTTTACATGTCACACTCAGACTCTGAAATAACAATACGGCTAACATTTTATCATGCTTAATGGTATATTGAGCACTTTTACATTAGTGATCACTTTTGATCCTTATATCCCCTGCATCTATTTTCTTTATTAGAAACTGTTTGCCTAGTACCATTCTCATATTTCTATTGCTATTATGAAGGTTCTCAGGTACTGACCACCCGGATAGATTACATGGTTTTTTCTCTCCTTGTTTTTCTCTCCCCATGAGAAAACTCTGCCTCCCTTTGACATATGACACATAGCGCCTCCCACTGGACACACACATATTCCTGGGCCATTGAAATTGCCCTTGGGCTATGCTTCAGCCAGTGGAATGTGAGCAAACCAACAGCCTGGAGCAGAGCGGAGCAGGTGTCCAGCAGCCAGAGGCACCTCACACCAGCTTGCGCTGTGAGTAAGGAACACATGCTTGGTGTTTCAGCCCCTGAAATGCTGGGACTGTTTGTCAGAGCAAAGCTGACTAATGCACGTTCTAAGCAAGATGCTACCAAAGGGCAATGTGTTTCTAAAAAAAAAAAAAAAAAAAAAATGCACTTGTACATTTCACCCTAGCACAAGTTGGGAGTAACGGGGTGAGCACGGGCCTTGGCATAACATGGACCTGGAGAGGAACTGCTTCACCCTGGCAAGTGTGGAACACTCTCACTGTAGCACTTTCTTCTCTAGAGCATTTTTTTTTTCCTCTTCAACCCAAGGTGGTTGCACTGGGCTACATCCTTAGCTCTTTGTATTTATTTGCTAAAAAGCTGCTAAGTTACCCAGGCTGGCTCAAACTTGTGATCCTCCTGCCTCAGCCTCCCAAATTGAGCATGGACATTGATATCCAGCCTCTCCGAGGCTCTTTCTATCAGAGGAGGTTTTCCCACACACCCTACTCAGACTCTAACTAGCTTGGAGTCAAAAAGACTATTGACTGAGACAGCTTGAAATACATTATTATAGGCAAGTCCATGAGTTTATTATAATACTCCAAAACAGGAAAACCAAAAATAACTCATTCATCACCATTGCGATTGTTCTGGCACCAACTCCTTATTGGAAACTAGAGGGAAAAAATTAAATACTTAAATATTTCAATATGCACTATTTCAGTAAAAAAAAATAGTGTGGGTTGATGAGGGAAACTTTCAAATAGTAACTATTGAATAAATCATGATTACATTATTGCATCAAGATTTTATAAGCTACTTCTAACAGATTAATCATTTCAAAAATGATTATCAACAGATACTACAACTGGTGAAAGATATATAGGGAATTGGATATTTACACAATGTTATTTTTGCCTTATGGATTGATGTTTAGTTATAAAAGAATTTACACTGGAGTATCAGACTATCCATATCATCATCTGCAAAGATGAGAAACGCGGGCATGCTGACTCCCTGATATAATACAAAGCTCACACAACCCAAAGGTTTTTGTCAGAAGAAAAATGTACTTGAGCTTACTTTAAGTCTTTAAATCTAAATTTAGGTTTCTAGAAAATATGAGATTGAGAACAAGTAAATCCCACTAGGAATACCTTGTCATTGCGCATGCATTAATTAATTGTGTTCATTTATATTTATTTTGCCTATTTATCTACCTGTGTGGAATATAAGCCGTAATATCACAGGAACCTTGTATAGATGAATTATTGCTCTGTTCCTGGACTCAGTTAACATGTTTCATACGATACAAATGTAATAAGTGACTGAATAAATTGTTTTAACCTCACCAAATTCACTTTCCCATCTGTAAAATGCAGATGAGCCTTTAAGGATTAAACACAGAGAAATGAGGTCCAGCTTAGATGTTTAATACCAGGCGTGTGTTTCTCTCACATACAGTGTGCCTCAGATCCCCATGACAACAATATGGAACGTGGCAGGAATTTTTACTTACATTTGGCAAATGAAAACCTGAGGCACAACAAGACAGATTAGGAAGCCAACTCCTAACAGAACTTTCACATGGACAGCACACCCAGTCACACCCAGAAAAGCCTGGTTTTTTATTCTTTAATACCTGCGGCGGTCCTCACTCAAGGTCCCGGCCAGACTTCGTCACTGCTGGGCTTCCCTCCCACCTCTTGCTTGATCCTTCCTGGGGTGGGATACACGCTCGGCCTCTCCGTACAGAGCTCATGCTGCATGTTCCTAGGGCTCAGCTGAGTCCTGCCTTCCAGACCACACAGTTATCCAAGGTGGAGCAGGTCTGTTTTCCTTGTGCCAGTGTGCTGCTTTGCGAGCACCAGAAACCATGTGAAGGGTGTTCTCTTACCTTGGGAAGTGATGTGATGAAGCAGCCCTACTACCACACCACATCGAAAAAGCCTGGGTGCTAAGCTAGGGAGCTGATTGCTCCGGAACAGAGTTTCAAGGCTGAACAAAGAAGTCAGTTTCTCATGCAAGGATCCAGCTAACAATCCAGCTAATCTGCCTTAATCTCCATGGGCCATAACCCTTTACTTTACACTGGATTTCAGGGGAATGTTGGTTCTCTCTGACCAAGCCACTTTTCATGCCACGAATACCAGACATTATTTTCAGTCCTAGAATGCCTTTACCTCTAGCATAGAGTCAAGAAGCCCTGAAGCGTCTGGAAGTTGTGTATCCAGAATTCTATATAAATCTCATTTGCTGGTACACCTTGCATTTCAGCTGTGCTACACCACCCATTGTTTCCTGAATATTTTTTGAGCATTTGCTCTTCCAAGCCCTCGCTCCACTGAGTAACACAGCTCAGAGATGAACCATGGTATTACGTATTTTCTTATTCGTGCCTCCACGCAGTCCTCCTGGTTTTGCATAGCTGCTGTAAGGAAGTGCTAATGAAGGAAATGTGTCTAGACTCTTGAACAAAACTGAAATGCTGGGATGTTTCATTTTATGGACCTCATCTCTGAGAAAACACTGCAGGGGTGAAGGTGGGGTGAACTAGGAAAGTGGAACAGAGGTGACTGTATGATTTCTGTTGTCAACATGCACCTGCTACAAGGTCTTGTGATCTTACAGTACTTCAGGTATGATCTCCTTAAAATTAGCCACACTAGGCCTTGCATTTGATGGATGTTAAAATACTACTAAAATCACTATAGAGTCAGATACATTTACAGTTATACTAGTTCTTTCTGTGTCCTGTGCTATAAACATTCTCTCTGCTTCTTTCAAACGAGTCCTAATCTACCATAGGAACCAGCACTCCCTAACAGTCTTATCCTCAACTTCATAAATGAATCATCATGAATCATTAGAAAACAAAATTAGCACCCAACACAGATGTGTTTTAAGAAATGTTTTGCTAGACATTTCGTGAGCTATAGGTAGTTAAATGTTTAACTTTGGCTGTTAAAGGATTTTAAAAAGAGAGTATAACATTTTTTTCAACCTTGTGTAATGCAATCACATGAGTCCCTTGGTTTATAACCTCTAAAGTCAATAAGATCGACCAGGCAGAGAATGAACAACATCACCCAATCACAAGCACAAAGCCAAGTTCACAGTCATTTCTGGTGTCAAAGAAGATTTTAAGAAGAAGCAAGGGGTTGCTTGTCTCATTGTAAAGGTGGATAGTGTTTCTAAATTAACACAGTTTAAAAATACACAGCTGAAAGAACTCAAAGGATTATATTAGATTATATTAGATTATTCATTTCCATACACTACCACAGCACTGAAAATCTGAGGTCATCTTATTATATTAAGAACTTCTATAGCAAGAAGGAAAGGAAAATATAGACAACGTTATAATCTGCAATATTTCTTAGTTTATATTTTATTTTATGTTTCATAATAATTCTATGAAATTCATAATAATTTTATTTCATAATAGTAACACTATGTTCTATATTTTATATGTTCTATATAAATTTGAGAAGTACTACTTCACAAGTATGAGTACATTTATGAAGGCAACAGAACACAAAATTAGAAATTAATACTTGCCTCGGAAAAGCTGAGTGCTATGGTGGCTATACCTGTAGGTAAGATGTAAGAGAAATTGTTGCAAGTGCAATATATGGGGTAAGCATTTAGCGTAAAGTTGTACAATTCATGTTAGTTCATTAGTCATTAAGCCAGCTAGTAGGTCTATGGTGGGATGAAGATGATAAATGCAATTTTGTATAAATTGTAACTTTTAAATGTACCAGTTGCATGGTTTTGACTATTTAATCATAGAAGTGTTATTATTGTCAAATAATTCAATTGTGTTCAAATCATTTCAAACAGACAAGAGTCTTCATGCTTTGTCACCTGTATCTGCTTTTGTGATCTTGATAATTTTATACAAATTCAGAACTACAAGTTGTGTCCTTTTAATTAACATCAATACAGTAATCATATGGTTCACAGAGGGTAACAGGTTCACTGCATTAATATCTTAAAAGTTCTCATTTTCACTGTTCTATTTTGTTCTGTTCTTCTGTGCACTTAATTTACCAGAGCAATTTTCCTAAGATACTAACTTGATATTTTCTCCAAACTTAAAATCTTCTGTAGTTTCTAACTAACTACAAGTCAAAGTCCATTTTTAATTCTAGCGTTCAAGTTCCATCACAATCTGTAGCCACTTAAACATCCTGTTTCATTTTTCTGAAATGGGGTTAGGTAATACCTAACCCCAAAAAGTATTTTTCCAAATCACTAAAATTTGTGATTCCTAAACATTTTTCATGGGATCACCAATTTACCCATATCATAGTCTTGAGAGCAATTTAAGATATAGTTGCTTACAGCATCTAATACTAGATACAGGGAAGAAGTAACTTTTACATTTTAAGTTTGGCTTATTCAACCATTAGTAATTAAGATTTAGCTTAAATGACTCTGATAGACTCATCCCTCTTTCAGATATGTAAATGCATTGGGATATTTATACAACTATCTCAATAAACTTCAATAAATCTCAGACAGACAATAAAAATTGTGTGGATGAGTGAAATGCTGAAAATTACAAAACAATATTAGCTCTGACCTGGACAAATAAGAGTATTTTTGCAACCCCAAAAAAGATCCAGACAAAAATCAAATGTTGCCATTGATTTACCTTTTTAGTGATCATATAAATTAGAAGAAACTCTGGTTTTTGCTCTGCATCATCAATATGTTGGCTTTTTCTCTTCATATTTCTTACTCTATGAGCAAAGGAAAGATGCTTCAGGTACGTGTTTACATTCAAAGAAAGAAGAGAGGGTCAGGGTGTTCCTAGCTATATCCCTACCTTATCAAGGCACAAAATCATCAAACAAAAGCTCCAGTAGAAAATCCCATTTCATCCCATTGACCACTCTTAGCCAAATATTCACATTAATCTTTAAGAAAGATAAAAGCCAGGAGCAAGGGAGTAGACCATGATGACTAGCATTTTGTCAGAGCTCCTTGAGAGCTGGGAGAAGGGACAGTTAGATCTATTTTGATGCCTAAGCAGAGACCTGAAGGATCTCCACTGACTCCATAACCCCTTGCTAGATAACCCAAGCTTATTTCAGCACTGGACAATCTTTGGACTCCAATCACACACAGAGATTTGACCCTCATTTTCTTGGTCTCTGCCTAGATGGCACATCTCAGTGCTTCGGCTGTGGAGTTTCCCTTTCCCACAACAGCTGCCTCTATCCACATTATAGCACAATCAGTAGTGCTCTAGAAGAGTGAATATCAGAATGTCCTTTGGGCTAATCGCATTCTCTCATGCTTATTTGTAATGTGTAAATGTCCCTCAGTCGATCTGGAGGCAACCTGTAAGATATCTCTCAGAATAGGGCAAAACCCTTCCTACCTCTTGGGTTTCCAAAGCTTCTCCAGAATCTTAAAAGACATTCTCTCCCACTAGCTCTGCCTTCAGTACATGTGCTGGGAAGTGTGGTGGGTGACCTGTGGTAATTTACTGCCTCATCCTCTTTATCCTTTCAGTCTTAAATTGCTACCCCACCACCACACACACACACACACATACCCATGCTCCTGTAGTCAAATTTAAGATAATTCCTTTTTCTCTCTGGTCATGCCCTTCATCTCCAGACTCCATAGTTCCATAGTCATAGCTGAACATCCATACTTCTCAGAGTTATCTTTTCTAGACATTGGCTGTAATACCTAACGGGTCCAACCCTTAATGCAAAAATTAAAAGAATTTAGAATCCTTATTCTCTCAAACATATAGTATATTGACAAAGTCCTGATTTGAATGTACAAAGCTAAATATTAATTTGCATTCTTCCTGTAGCAAGTTTATTTTTTGAAATATTATCTTTCCGTAATTTTCTGTCCTTACCCATACTTATGTGTTCAAATTTTCTATATGCATCTACTGCAGCTCTAACTTCACTTGCTCCTTTCCATATTTGGAGACAATCTTAGGCATCTTTAATGAACCTATTTAGATGCCCTCTCATTCAAGAAACCACTGTCTGTATAGAAGGTCTTTATCTTATGGTCCCAAAGTATGGAGATAATATTCTTTAGAGTGATTTTCATATTAAAAGTTTTTTATTGTGCTTTTCCTATTACAAGTCTTTGATTAATATTCTTTCCTTATTGAGCAAGACCTACAGCAATCTTCCTTTACCTAAGTCTATGTCAGGGGTCTATAAACATGCGTGGAATATAATGCCAGATGATGTGATTACTTTTTCTAAGAATAGAGTTTTACTTCTAAGTGCTGCAACAACCAAAACTACAGACTGATTATCACCATTGAACTGAAAACTTTAGCAGAACAGCCCAGAAATTTTCACGCCAAGTGTTGGTATTTTCCAAAGTAGTCTGTGGAATAAACTTTAGGAGTAAGCTTCATTTTAGTTTATTTGAATTGTTTTAAAATACCTATCCCTAATATTATTAGAAGAGAAAAGGGATAGTTAGCTATTATTGTATTTAACTTTGTGATTAAGAACTTTAGAATAATACTTACAGGGCCGGGGATATAGCTTAGTGGCATAAGCACCTGCCTGGCCAGCTCAAGGTCCTGAGTTTGATTCCCAGTACCAAAATAATAATAATGATGACAATAATAACAATAATAATACTTATAATATAGTGAATTTAATTCTAAACCTGAGGATTCTGCCTCTGAAGTGTCCACATTATAACCTGCTGTAGATAAACTTTTTAAAACTATCACCAAGTTCAGTAAAAAAAAAAAAGCTCTACAGTTCAAAATAATAGTTTAAAGTATTATGATACTGTAATTTTTATTTCTGGAATGAAAGTTTCAAAGCATTATCACTCATCCTAAAAAGTATTCATTATCTATTACCTATCATTTATCTATTCTTTGAAAACCTAAAAGTTGGATATTAGGTCATTTAACATTCCTTATTACAAAAAAAACTGACTGTTTTCAAAAAGCCTTAACTTT